TATGCATCATGAAAATGTGCTAAACTAGTAGTTTGTAGGAAACCACAACCAATAGTAACATAAACCTCATGGTAGTGAATGGTGACGCACAGGCAGAGCTTTGTGAAACATATTGTAGCGTTCCAGTTATTTGTTGCAGAATAACTAATCACTTCAAACGCAGTGGCATAACACAACAGTCACACATTGTTGTCTGGGCTCAGGAGGCAGCTCTCACTTGGAGTCTGTTGTGAGGTGGTGGTCAGGGGGTGACTGGGTCTGGAGACAGCAGAGGCTGCCTGGTCTCCAGGACTCCACTGGGAATGGAGGACCGTGCACCTCTTCTTGGCCTCCCCATCGGCCCTTGGGCTTCCGCCGGGGCCGTGGCCATTCCAACCATGACAGCCGGATTTGAAGAGCAAGAATCCTAAGAGAGTGTGGCAAAGTAAAATACCTTTTATAACCTCCCCTGGAAGTTACACAGTATTACTAGGTCCACTCTATACTCTCTAGAGGGAATTAGACTCCAGTTATGAAGAGCATCAAAGAATTCATAGACATGTTTAAAAACCATCATAGGTAGAAATTCTGCAGACTTTATGGTTCCCAAAGAATGGCCACTCTACAGTTCACTTCTCACAGTGGGCTCATTCCTGGGGCGCACCACCATGTTCAGCACAATTTGACTTGTTCTCAGAGGCTCCTGTGTTAGGTGCATTGCCTTTTATGACAAACAGCTCTGTGGATATTGTCAGTGCCTTTAAAAATCCTTGATGGTTCTGGAAGCACTTTGTGGGGCCTGCCGTGACTCCCCGCATGCAGCTCCAAAGGGGATAGAAAAGCTGTGCCAGGATGATGGACCGAGTCTTTGTTTTACAGCTTTCTCTCCCCAGGTTATTAGCCACATGGTGTGGCTGAGGTCAAAGGGCAGGCTCTGCTTTTGTCAACAGCTGGGAGTAATTGGAGAGAGGACAGCTAGCTATTAGAGAAGTAAAGAGGAAGTGATCAATCTGAGGCACTGTTATGTTGCTAATAATACTCAACATTAAGCTCTGTTAGCCTTAAGTGGTAGGCACTTTCTGGAAAGGAAAACAGTAATCAGAGTGGTTAAGTGACTTGCCCAAAGTTGCACAGCTACTGGAAGATACAGCCTGGATTTGAACTCAGGTATGTCTGCCTCAAAAAGTAGCATAGTGGTTGTAAATTCAAACACTAGGGTCAGAGCACTTGGGCTTGAATGCTTGCTTTGGGTGATCTTGGCCAATTTACCTCTTTTTGTTTCAATTTTCTCATTGGTGGAGAGGGAACAATCAATCAATCACTCAATTAACCCCATAGGAGTTTAAACATTAAATTGGATGAGGCCTTTAAGGTGTTTAGCACCCAACAAATGTTCATTGTTCTACCTTCTCCTCTACGACTTATGTCTGCTGGGGATGGTGATTTATTCAAAAGAGTAATATGCTAAAGACCCAGAAGTCTGAGGAAGGACAGGATGGAATCTTCCGTAGAGTCACTGTCAGACCTCAGTGTTCAGCCACTCATTTCAGCCTCTAGTGACTCTGAGTTCCCATTGCGAAGTGGACACGAGGCTAGGACTCTGTGACAATGAATGGGCCTCTGCTCTACGGCATGCCAGTCCTTTCTCTGTTTTCAGGTCCACCTAGACTCACCAACCACGTACCAAACCAGATACAAGGGATATATGACGGAAACTGATCCAGGAACGCAGAGTCGGAAGGGAGGGCTGGTGACAAGCCCTCTTCACCTCATTGCTGCGCTCAGAGCGCTGTCTAGTGCACAGAGTGGCCAGAGGTTGGGCTCAGAGCCCTGTCTAGTGCACAGAGGGGCCAGAGGCTGGGCTCAGAGCCCTGTCTAGTGCACAGAGGGGCCAGAGCCTGGGCTCAGAGCCCTGTCTAGTGCACAGAGTGGCCAGAGGCTGGGCTCAGAGCCCTGTCTAGTGCACAGAGGGGCCAGAGCCTGGGCTCAGAGCCCTGTCTAGTGCACAGAGGGGCCAGAGGCTGGGCTCAGAGCCCTGTCTAGTGCACCGAGTGGCCAGAGGCTGGGCTCAGAGCCCTGTCTAGTACACCGAGTGGCCAGAGGCTGGGCTGGCTCTTCTTTATGGGATAAACCCTGGAGACAGGATGGGGGTATGGTCTCCTGAAATGTGTTTACACTGCAGCAAGGCTGTACGACCAGTTACAGCAGGATCCCATCCGTTGTCTCTGAGAGTAGCAGAGCACATTACACCATGTTATGGAATGTCGGGCTGGGAAGGGCCTGGGGAGGGCCCGGCAGGTGGTGTGGCCTGCCCTTCCCCATCGATGTTGCTCAGCTCTGGACCAAACCCGAAGAGGCTGGGAGGTTTTTACACAGGCCCCACTTTGTCGTTGCGTGTGGTTCGGCCTCCTCCCAGGCAGGCTGATTTGTGAATGTGCTAAACTCCAGTGCGCTAGGCGGCCTAACCACAGAGCTGTGTTTTGTTTCTCTACCGGATACACCTGCCCAAAAAGGCAGAGTTCACTCACGCTGCAGGCTCCGGGCGTCTTACTTTTGAAAGATTGCAACCTCCAGATAAACCAGAGGGCACAACTGGTTGTACCCTCAACGTGCTCACTGAGAACTTGAGAAAGCTGAAAAGTAATAAAACTAATTTTTTTCTTTTGAGGGCAAGGAACAGTTCTGTAGAGTTGGTTATTCTCTACATTCCCATGAGCATTCTCCACTTTCACTTCAGTCATTATTTCCGGAAGCAAACCACTGTTTTAGGGATCTGTGGATGCAGCATTAAACAGCATTGAGTCACAGATTAAGTTAGTCCCTCATTAAATTTTTTCAGTCTTCCTGGTTTTGTCAAGAAAAACAATCTTCATCTGAAGCTAGTACTTCTTTAACATCTAACGCTTGCTAATCTCCCTTAAAAAAAAAACACTACAAAACGAGTGCAGACCTCAGATTTGATGTTTTTAGTCATAGTATCTACTTAAGTGTGGTAATATTATCTAGATAAAATTTGATCATATTGTTTTTATTGTGATTATTCTTAATTTATGGCTAGAGATAGCAATTTACTACTTTAGTGATATTATGTTTCTTTTAAATATAAATATATTTAAGTGTTTAAAATCGGCTAATTTAAAGAAAAATATTATGTAAATAATTGTGCAGGTGCCATTCATAAACAATAGATATCGTGAGGGTAGAGTGTGGTGGCATTTGGATATGGTAGAAACTGGGAAGGGATTACACAAATATATGACATATGAGCAATAGGGCTTTGGAGCAGGACGAACTTGCGTTTGAATCACTGTCTATCACCTACTAGATGTATGACCTTGAGCAAGTTATTCAACCTCATTCCACACCTATAAAATCAAAACAACATTTCACTACCCACCTTGGAATTCTCGTGAAGATTACATGTAAGGCTGTAATACAAGACCCTGGAACAATAAGGTTATTATTATTATTGCCGGGAATCTATTTCTACTTTTCAGAGCTGTGCTCGTGCAAGCACAGTGCCGGGCACACAGCACGCAGTAAATTACAATGTTCCTGTCATCACCGCTGCCACTAGCACCATGTGTTCATTCATATCAGCTTTGAAGCAGATATCAGGCCGGGATTGGACACGCAAGGGGCCTTGGAAGGGGGAAGCCTGTGAAGGAGAGAGGAGGAGGGAGCAGGGGAAGGTGGGAGAGAAGTGCCACCACCTGTGAGAGGAGGATGGGTCGGAGGAGTCCCTGACCGCAGTACAGTGACAAGAAAGGTTCGGCCAGACGATGAGGAGTCCTGGAGCCAAAGTCAGCGGCCGGAGAAGTCCCCTGTTCTGTGCTCAGTCATTGGTTGGGAGCAACTCTCAGGAAGTGTGGCCTTGAACTTGGTGGTGGATCCAGAAGGCAGCGCCTAGGGCAACAGCTAATTATGCTCTCCACCCACAGCAGGCACTCTGGGCGGCACAGAGGGTGGGGCAAGAGGAAGTTTCCAGTTGTGAGTATGCGGGTTTATTCTTGTATTACTACGTTTGATTATTGTATTATTTTCCATACGAACAACTGTGAACCTCTTTTGCCCCACCCTGTGTCTGTGGCTGCTGCACACACAATCTCCATCTGACCCATGGAGACCGGATCCTGAGCGTGTCCTCCAAACCATCTATCCAGTTAACTGCCTGATCACTGCAGCCCAGGGAGGGAGTAGAAGGATGTCACACCCGGAAGTGAAATGTCATATTTGAGGGATGGAAGAAACACACGGCCAGCTCCTGATTTTCTTGTCTCGATGCCCAACCAGCCTGCCAAACATATTATTTACTTTAAGAGTTTATCTCCATCACAGCTGTTCATTAGCCCTATTTGTCTTTTAGCTCTAACTTTAGATTTCAAAAGTTGTGTGTTGAAGGCAGAGTCAAGCACATTGACACTTTTATGCAAATCACAGGGCCCCAGATGGCAGGCCACAGGTATGCTTGGCCCATGGAGTGTTTAAAAACTTATTTTTAGCTAACATTTAAAAATTGTGAGATACATATGTATATTATGTATATTTATATATGTATACACACACACACATATGTAAATGTTGATTTCTGGCTTCTCTTGAAAACCAAAGATCTGGAACATTGAACATAAATTTCTGCCTGGCAGCATTACGTGGATAAAAGTGGCTGCCCCTCAAGGTGGGGCTGTCCTGTCTCCTTCATGCTCTACCACCCACACAAAATACACACATGTCCTTGTACCCAGCAGGCTTCACTGGTTTATATTCCTGTCTCGTCCTTTGTGCAGAGAGTGCTAACTGTCCCTCAATATTACCTTCTTCCCGTCTTCTATAGTTATGGTCCAGCTGGACTCATGACTACATTTCCCAGTCTCCCTTGCAGCTAGTGTCCTCATGTGACTAAGTTCTGGCCAATGGTGTGAAAGTGGAGTTGATATTTGAAACTTCCAGACTGTGCTTCTGATAAGTAAAGCCAGGTGCCCTCTCTCACTCCTTTTCTTCTTCTCGCCGGCTGAGACAGGGACACGATGCGGGGAGCTGGAGCAGCCCTCTGACATCACCAGATGGAAGCTGTGTGATGAGAATAGCAGAGCCAAAAAGGAGGAAACCAGGTCTCCCACCAGGAGACCCGTGCCCGCTCTGGAACGCTTATGCTCAGACTGTTACGCCCGAAAAAGAAACATCCACTTTGGTTTCTCTTTTGCACAGCATCCTCCCCTTAAAATACCACAGCAGCTTCAATTGTACCTTAACTAATATACCCTTGTAAAGGGGACCCACGAGGAAAGCATCGAGTCAAATTGCACCGAGAACCGAGAAGAGGTACGACCCTCTTTCTGGTAAACGCGTCATCGGAAAACCCTGCCCGCGTCTCCAGGCCCCGTTTGCAGGTGGGACCGTTTTCCGGCTGTGGATGCGTGTGTACCCGGGGCTCCTCAGGGGCCGACGTCCCCCACAGCCACCGTGTCTCAGGTTCACAGGCCACCGTGTCCCATTTGCATCTCTGCTTGGCTCTGAAGGCCACGCCTGAGAAGACAGCCCTCCTACCTTTTCTCAGCAGCGCCCTCCGAGTGGGACAGAAGTGGGAGGTTCTCGGCTGGTACTGCTCTGGCTCCCGAGGGGCCCGCAGGGCTTCCCGGCACTGAGTGTGAAACTGCCGAGGACCCTCACGGTTTCGAACTGAGCAGACCCTGCCGCATTCTGCGGGGGTCAAAACCAGTGACGGAAGTGACTTATGACAGAGAAGATGTTACTCCCTGCTGGGGGCAGGCACCAATAACAACATGTGATCGTGGTCCTTGGAATGATCAGTGAAAATACTGAATGAAATTCAGGTAATAACGATGCCGAACTCTTCAGTGTAGCCTGTGACGAAGAGTTCTCCAAACGAGGACTACACTGAGAGCACAGAAAGGGGAAGAAAAGAGCTACTGTTTAATGAGCACTTAATGTGCCGTAAACGTTATGTACATTTTCTCATTTAGTCATCTCAAAAACCCCATGAGGAAGTATTATAACTGTTTTTTCTCAAAGCCGAAACGCTAAAGAAAGTAACTTGTCAAAGATTGCACAGCTGGGAAGCAAAAAGGCCAGGATGTTGATGTTCTGGTGATTTATGTCCCTTCCATATCTTGCAGTCTCGTGGACACTTTGAGGCTGGCCTTATCAGACGACGGGGGAGGCAAGCGAGATCCTGGACACAGCTGTGGGGATGGAAGTCTCCGGGGGAGGGGGCAGTTTGTAATGGATGCAGGAAAGCGAGGAAAGAAAGTGGCAGAGAGACACGTTGAAAAACTGGCTACCTGCTTTGGATCATCCCAGTGCCCCACAAAACAAAAAAGATATCAAAATAAGCACAGCTCGCTGAGCCCCGAGGGAGAAGGGATTGTGGGAGAGGCTGGTAGCAGATAAGCCCAGGGAGAGCCGGCCCGGCAGCAAGATGAGAGAGTTCTGGAAACGAAGTTCTGCTACGCTCTGGACACTGAAGCATATGGCTGAGTAACCGGTCGGTAAGACATGAAACAGGGAAGGAATTACAATGTAACAGTTAGGCAGAGAGAGGACTTAATGTTGCTGCTTGTTTAAATACACGTGCTTTTCCCTTTGCTGGAAAATTCTTTGGCCACATGTCGGCAGGTCGTACTTTGATGTGGGTGGCCTCTATGTCCATGCATACTCTTCTGCAAGATCAGAGGGGAAGCTGGTTCCCAAAGCACGGCTCTGGGATGCTGAATGCCATAGAGCATCAGACAAAATTGTGTCGACGCTCCTTTCATTATTCTCTCTTACCTGCTGCCTCTGCAGAGAAGCAGTTCATCTTTATTGCCATTTGCTGGTGAAATATTTTCTGACAGCAGCAGTGAAACCCCATTCCCAGTCAAAGGCCAGCTTTTTAGGCATAAGACAAATGTGAGCTCTGTTTGGCGCAAGGTGGCTGCCAAGAGATCTTTTAATATATTTCTTTCTCTCTCAGCCATGGATGGGTGCTGACAGCTCCAACTTCCTCAGCATTAAGCCAGTTTGTGAGATAAAACCTTCAGAAATGGAGTTGTCTAAGACGGAGCTGTTTACACTTCAGTGGTCGTGGCAGTGGGGACCGGCTGGGGTCCCTTATATCATATTCCAGCTGTGACAAGAATGCTGTCCTTTCTCCTAGGTCAGTCGAGCTTTTTCTACAGAATGGATCTCAGATGATGGAACAATGTTCTCCAGACAAGAGCGGGAAAGGATAGAACATAGAGACATTGATGAGGCAAAGAGAATGATGCTCCTGAGGCTGTCTGTAGTTCTCCAACACTTACGTTTACGTGGGCATTGGAGCACGGCGCAGCTGGAGGTGAGAGGCAAAAAGAGCTCCAGCAGATGGTAGTGGCCCTGAGCAGGACGGGGTCATCTGGCTTTCGGAAGGCTTCTCGAAAGGCTTCATCGTGCATAAGCTTCCCAGAGCTTGTATGTGACTCCGTGATGGTGGGGACCCAGTCCCTTTCTGTCTTCTTCTCTGCTATTTTCAATAGGTGCCTTCCCTCTAGGGAGGTCAGATGGTACTGAGGTAGGATTCAAAGGTTGCTTCCCTCATCATTCTTCTTTTTTAAAGATTTTATTTATTTATTTTTAGAGAGGAAAGGGAGGGAGAAAGAAAGAGAGAGAAACATCAATGTGTGGTTGCTAGGGGTCATGGCCTGCAACCCAGGCATGTACCCTGACTGGGAATCGAACCTGCGACACTTTGGTTCCCAGCCCGCGCTCAATCCACTGAGCTATGCCAGCCAGGGCTTCCCTCATCATTCTTGACGAATGTTGCTTATAAGGTGGCTTTTACAATGAGAACGTGGATGCCTGCAACATTTGGGGTAAGAAGACAAAGGCATGTGATGAGGTACTACTTCAGTCTGCGGCTTAAAATTCATTGCAATGCCCAGTTCTCCGAGGTACGTCTCTTGCCTGCCTGGCATTGATAAAATCAGAAATGCAGCCCACAGCGCCACAGACGACGGTTCTCCCTTGCTGCGACCTGGCCCGGCTGGGAGGAAGCGAAACTCATCCGGGCAAGGACACGTCCTGCCTGCCCTGTCCACTCATCCTGTGAGGCCCTGGCTTGGAAGCAAAGGGTCACACATGTGGGCTAGACCATGAGGGAAAGAGGAAACAATGTGTGAAGTGGGGCGTCAAGGTCTGGGGCAGTTCAAAATTTAACAATTTCCTCTTGCTTTAAGAATTGCTCTTTCACCTCACTTTTTTAAAAGTGAGGTGTCCGAGTGGAAATGGCAATATTTGTCAAGTACTACAATGTATGTGAAGCGGACTGGGTTCAGAATGTGAAGGCCCCTTTTATTCTCACAGTAATTGAAAATAATAATAGTAGCACGTTTAGGGCTAACTCACAGGCTCCTCATTTAATGCTACGTGACCCTCAGAGAGAGGGGGTGGGGGAAGTGCAGCTCAGAGACGGTGAGCGGCTGGCCAAGGTCACACAGGTGCTGAGTGGCAGAGTCTGGGGTTTCTCTCTCTGCCATATGTGGTACCATAATTCTCAGGTGTGAGCAGTCATTTCAGATAAATGTCAGGCTTTCTATTGCCAGCAGTCCTCTGGGCTGAGTGTGACACAGCCACCTCACTGAGCTTCCCACAGGTACGTTGAGAGATTCCCCAGAAGCCCCGGTTCTTCCCCTCTCCTTCTGCATCCCAGACCACGAGCAGCTGGGTTTCTTTATGGTCATTTTAGAAGTGATAAAAATTCTCCAAGGGAATTTCATTCCCAGTGTGGAGTTGGCAGCCTTTATTCATAAGGGCACACTTAAGAATGTTCTGTTTTGGTGAGAGGGAGACATTTTTAGAAAATTGAAGACGAAGAAGACAAGGGAGGAAATGAGAGGGAGCTGAAGGGAGGATGTTCACGGCACCCTGGGAGTCTTCTAGAGCTTTAGGGGTCTCTGCCTTCCTTCTTGGGAGGCACTGGGGGCCATACTGCCTTATATGTCAGTAAGACCTTGTTTCAAATCTCAGCTCTGGTGCAAACTCTTGAGGAAACTGCTTAATCTCTCTGAACCTCAGTTTGCTCGTCTATAAAATGGGGATAATATTACCCCCTTCTTTATCGGGCCATTGAGGGGATTGAATGAAATAATGCAGTGTTTCTCCAAGCATGATACGCATACCATTCGTGATAGCAAGACAAGTTTCTGTTGATACAGACCGTTTTTAGTGTAATAATTATGGCACACATATATAACTAACACACCAAACCTGTCGTTTCACAGGTCTTATTGCTTAGGGCGAGTCAAAGTAAAGAAATTAAATCAAAGTTAAAGGCCATTTTAACAATGTTAAGCATGTGATACAGGCATGACAAATCATGGACCAGAAGGAGATGAGGACTGTTGTCAGGGAACCCTAATCTGATGAGTACGACAGCTGCTGGCCCGGCCTCTGCTGCTCCCTCTGCTAGACTCCTTCCCCACTTCCGCAGTTGAGGAGGGTGACCTGGGACAAAGAAAGGCAGAGAGACCCAGGTTGGAAGCTGAGGCTGGTTTTACAGTGGGGACTGGAGTTAGCTAGCCTCCCTGTGAGCGGTCCCTGGGATTATTCTCCCGTTGCTGCCCTCTTGTGGTCATGGGAGGTCCCAGGGTCCTGAAGACACATCAAACAGGACCCGCTATGATTTAGCACCCATGCACCTCCCTTTCTGGCCCCTTTCCCACCCCCATCAGTCCCACCTGGCCGTGGTTTACACTCCCCAAAGTGTCACTTCCTCCTCCAGCCTAGTCTCACAGCTCCCCTTCCCCAAACTCTTGGTGTGTCAGTAAAGCATGTTCTGATTCTCAGGTGTGGAGCAGCAATGAATGCCTTCCCAGGAGACGCTGGTTTTCAAAGAGGAACTGTTTAAATACCCAAAGGAAATCCACAGAGCAGGAAATGAAGTAGCCATATTTTTTTGACAAGGATCTTCCTTTAGTGCCCACCTTTCTCTTTAGGCATCTAGGTTCCCGGAGTGAAATCATAGTTCTTTTCAGGAAAATTCTGCAAGAAACTTTCATAATACTGTACTTACATTTCCGGTGTAAGTCAGAGTTACATTATTTTGCTTGAGACTGAAAACCCCAAACTACAGTGGTTTTAAGAAAGATAAACATTTATCTCTCATGTAAAGAGGGGCTCCCCAGAGGTGTTGGAGGCTCCCTGATCCCTAGGTTCTCTGTTCTACTCTGGAGATCAAATTAGCTAGCCTCATTTTAGAGAAACTGAGTCCCTGGAAGGCCAGACTTCTCGAGGCCATGACACTGGCTGGCAGCAGAGGCAAAAGTAGGACCTCGGTGCGCTGGCTGCTGGTCTAAAGCTCTGTCCCATTGCACCAGTGGCATTTGCACGGCAGCAGAGAGAAAGGGAGCCTGATTTGAGCCCTGAAAGCAACTCGGGTCTGAACATGTCCCACAATGCCAGCAATAGGCTTGTGGAGGAGACGCTAATATCATCTCCAAAAAGTCTCTAACTTCACTTTACATAACACCGTCTTGGCATCCAAAATCAAGAAGTTAAATAGAAAATGAATTCATTCTCTTTCTTTTCCACTGTGACCATTAAATGCTGTGGATAATTAAGAATAGATGACCAACAGCTGGCCCCCAGCATCTTCTTAACTTATTCTTAGAAAACATACACTGATGTGTTTAGGTGTTAGGTTATAATATATGCTCTTATAGGTAGGCACAGTCAAATAGATAGATAAATGGATAACAGAGTGCTGATAAATAAACAAATGGCAAATAACTATACAAGGTCTGTCCAGAAGGTATCCAGCCATGTATTATGAAAAATAGAGACATTTTTTGAAGAAGACACAAGATACAAGACACACTGTACATAGGACAATGATACCTCAGTTCTCTTCAGAGTTGGCACCTTGGGACCTCACACAGTTCTCTCAACACCATCAGGTGCCCTATGGTATTTTCCTAATCTCACCGATGGTCTGAAATCTCTTCCCTTTCAAAGGTGATTTTAGCTTTGGGAAAAGGCAGAAGTTGCAGGGCGCCAAACCTGGGCTGTATAGAGGCTGAGTCACCTGAGTTGATGTTTCACTAAAAAAGTCTCTACAAGACATGATGTGTGAGCAGGCACATCGTTGTGATGAAGCTGTCAATCACCAGTTGTCCATAGTAGTGGCCTTCTGAATCATCCAAATAGTTTCCATGGAGGAATGTTCAAGCTTAACACAAAATCTGATACAGATTCATTGCTCTACTCACTCAGTCATTTTGAACAATGATGGCCACACAGTACACATGCTCACTCACCAGCATCGACTACCCCCACTGACTGGTCCAGTGAAGTCATCATTGTTCATGCATGTGCATTCCAATCCACTCTCCTTGGCTGCCAGGTTACATAGATGTCATGTAAACCATTCTCATTATATTAACAATGGCTGGACTTTTTCTGGACAGGCCTTTGTAAGAAAGTGCAGGGTAAGAGAAAAGGGTATTTTAATACTGTTTTTATCCTTGCAACTTCTCTGTAAAGTTTGAAATTTTTCCAAATAAAAAAAATACAATTTTTAAAGGGCTCACACATGCTGTGATGATGCAGGGATTATGTAGAGGAAAAGTCTCTAACAGGACTTTACATAACACTGTCTTGGCATCTAAAACCAAGCAGTAAATAGAGAATGAATGCATCCTCTAGAATGAGCAGAGCAGATGGTCAGGGTCAGGTGGTCGTCATAACAATCATAGGTAAGAGAAGATGGTGGCGTAGACAAGGATGTCAACAGGAGAAGAGAAAGGAAGGGCTAAGTTTCTGGATATGCCTTGAAGGTAGAACTAACAGAATTTGCTGACGAATTCCACGTGAAGCTGGGAGAAGGAAAGGAGGCAAGGAAGAGATGTAAGGTTGCTAGGCTGATCTGCTGGGGCGATGGAGCGGTCAATAACTGAGACAGGGAAGATGGTGGGAGGAGCTGGTTTGAAGTGGAAGATTGAGAGCCTGGTTTTGAATATGTACCTCGTGGATGTATGGAGTATACTATCTAATTTTAATGAAGCAAAAGCTTATAAAATGGATAACTAGCTTTAAAAGTAATGAATCTTAACAATGCAAGCACAGGTAAATTTCAAAAACAACTTTGCATTTTTGGCTGGCAGGAGTCTAAATGGGGCCAGCAACACACTTCTTTGTTTGGGTACCCATGTATTTGTGGGAGGTCTCTTCCTGCAATGTCAACCCTTAAAACCAACTATGGAAATAAACTAAATGTAGAGTCAGGTCCCAGAATGACTGTGATACAAGATGTTAAACCAATGTTTCTAAATAAAATAACACCTACTCAATCGCATTGCTCTTATCAAGAAGAGTATAATGATTGTATTGTTATTTATTTTTATATAAGTAATTAGTTTATATTATATATTTATTCTGGGCATTCTGTTGAGTGAACTAAGCCAGACAGAGAAAGACAAATACTGCGTGGTATCCCTTGAAGGTGGAGGAAATGGGGAGAGATTGGTCAAAGGATAAAAACTTCCAGCCAGTGAAACAAAAACAGGGAAAAGTTTGGAGACCTCTGTAGATCATAGTGCTGATTAATTCCAGCCAGGTAAGGCTGTTGTTTCCTTTGCCACCATCGGCTCCCTCTGTCAGCAAAGGTACCGTGTGGATTCAGACCCACTGCTGGGATCCCAGCTCACTGTGCATGTACTGAGGGCATCCGGAAGTCCTGTTTAGGGCAGTAAGTACACTATTTAATGAAATATTGTGCAGTTTCTAAAAATAATACATCAGTCTAGATTGATGTAGAAAGCTGCTCAAGATTCAGTAAGTTCAAGATTCTAAAAAAAAGCAAGAGGGGTAGAACAATTACAGTGTCAGACAAACGATAATGTGTGTCTCTATACTCACAGAAACCTTCCGGTAGCAGTAGCTACCTGTGGGAAATGACACTAGGTAGAAGAGAGAGAGAAATTTACTTTTATAAATTGGCATTTACTGGGGTGACATTGGTTAATATAATTATATAAGTTTCAGGGGTACAATTCTGCGATACCTTGTCTGTCCTTTATACTGTGTGTTCACCACCCCAAGTCAGGTCTCTTTCCATCACCCTCTTTCCCTATGGTAATCACCATGCTGTTGTCTATGAGATATATATATGTATGAAGTATATATATATATATACACCTCAAAATATATATATATATTTTGCTTAATCTCTTTACCTTTTCTACCAAATTATTAAAAATCATAAACATATATTAGTTTAATTTTTAAAAAATGATTTTAAAATGTGCAGCTTTTTGAAACTCATTTTATGAGTTTATCCTGAGGGAATAGAGGTAAGTGAATATTTCATACTACAATGATCATGACATCTATTAAAATGTGTAAGATTAGAAATAACCTAAATGTCTAGCCTTAAGAGAATGGTTAAATAAATAAAGGAAAATGGACTGTAATATAAGGTAGTTATTTTTTTAAAAAATCAGGTTTCTGAAAATTTTAGTCAGATGGGGAAATACTGATAACATGCTAGGTGGAAAAACATAATCTATGTAAATTCAGCATTAATATCAGTAACATTAAAAATGCATAGAAAAAAAACTTGGAAGAAATACCCTCAAATGACAGCAGAGGCTGCCTCTGATAGTGAGGTTGTAGGGATTTTTATTTTTCTAAACTTTTATTTTTTTTCTATTCTTTTCGATTTCTCTTTTCTTCAATCAACATGCATTATTTTGTAATGTGAAACATAAAGAAAGTAGGAAGTAAAAGACTACGAAAACCATGACATGCATTCCTGGCATGAGTCAGGAGCTGAATTTTCATGTTTAAATCAGTTTCAGAAACACAGGAGTGGTTTCTAGGCAACCTGCTTGGGAAATCATGTTCATTTCCATTGTTGCTGGGAATGTGTGTGAGCATCTCAAAGGAAATGTAACAGACGAACTCTTGTGAAAGCCGGCTCCTGCCCAGGAAAAACAAGCTTTGCCACCCAGTTTGGGGTGTGGGGAGTTGAGTTATCATGACCTCAGGGACACAATGGGAACCTGAGGGGGTTATTTATTTATTTACTGATTAGCCAGTGAGTAATTGATTTTAAAGAGGATTGCTGTAAGTAGGTAAAGCCCGATAGATATTCAAGTCTGCTTATGGTTGTGGGAAACTGGGGCGTGGGGAACAAGAGCCCCAACCAATAACCCCAGGTGGATGTCCCTGCTGAGAAGTCAGGCCTGAAACTATGTGGCAAAGCTCTACAAGATGGATGGCAGCTCAAGATGTGAAAAGATTGTCTTATCATTGTGTGAGCCATTTACTATCATTATAGATAATCCTGCTGAGCCACAGGGCTTTAAATCAGGAGGCAACTCTGAGAAATGGAATCAGAGCTAAGACATCCTTGGCCCAGCTGGATGGGCTGGGAGGGTGGGCTGTGGAGGATGGGCTGAGCTAAGAATGGTTTTTAGCCTCTGGGAACCACGCTGTTGAGGAAGAGGTTGCAGAAGGTGCAGAAAGTATTGTTCTCGGTGCACGTGTGTGTTTTGATGACTTCACTACTTTTCCAGCAAGAACAAAAAGCATTCTGCCTGATTAATGGGGTCAGAGCCCAGCTCTCATTCCTAGGTCCCCTAGTGGTTCTCTGTTGCAGTTAAAAAAATTAAGGGGGTAAACAGCAGGCATTCGGGGTAATGATAGCAGGTTACTGCCCTTGCCCTTGGCTCCCCCCAGGCCTCATCACAGCTCCAGGGAGCTCTGGCCTCAGGAACCCCAGACCCACTTCCTAATAGAAGGTGGGTCTGGAATCAGACCGGCCATCAGGGCAGGAATCATTGAAAGGAGAGGGTGAGATCTAATTCTGTCTCTAAATTTCTGACCCCACATCCTGCCCTGCATTCCACTTACTAATGGTCCTCTGGGTCCGGCCACCCTCTTTCACTACCCATGTGCTCTTTTCCCACGGTTGGTGAAGGAACATGGAAGGGCATGAAGCGGGGAGGGAGGGGCGACGTGGTCAGATTTCATGAGACCTGTGTAAGCACACTGTGAAGGAGGGCCTAGAGGAGGAAGAGGCTGAAGTGGAGGGACTGGCCCTGAGGTGATCTGCAATAGTCTGGGTCACATTCCCTTGCTGGGTGTCAGGAGAGATGAGAAAGGCCGTTTAGAAGATAGGCCCAATGGAGCCTGGCCAGAGATGAGATGTGGTGATGGGTGAGGGGAGTCTGGGACAACTCCCAGTTTTCCCATGGGAGATGGGAATGGTGGCCCCATGCAGCAAGCTCAGGAACAAAGGAGGGTGTGTGGGGGAGGTCTGTGGGGAGGGTGAGTTAAATTTTGGCCGTGTCTAAAGGGTGTGTGGACCATCCAGGTAGACCTCTCTGGGCACTTGGTATATGGGAGTCTGCTAGTTTCTGATGGAAGAAGGCTGGATCAGGCTTCTCTCTGTGTACATGTTCAATAAACATTGTTTTGAGTAGCTAATTAATGATTACAAGGCACTGGGAAAACAGAACGATATTGCAATGTAAATGTGGATCCTCTCACAGTAATGGACTGATAGTTGCAGAAAAGCTCCAGCTAAATAACACTAATTTTTCCAGCTATAAATAACCCTTCCTCTGCAGTCGGGTTTCAATTACACAGTGAAAAGAAATGCAGCAGTGGAAATGAGGAAGAGAGGCACAGGAGGGCATGTCGTGGCTACAAGGCAAAAACATTAGCAAGTTCCAGCCCAGATGGAAAAGGCAGTGACCTGACCCGGTGGAAAAGAGGTGAAAGTCTAATGTCCTGGGTCCAATTCTATAAACTCCTTAGCTAACTAGTTGGGTGTAGTAAACGCTATTGCTTTCAGAGATATAGCAGCAGTTTTAAACTCTTTATATGCATTGCCTTGTTTAATCCTCAGAGCAACCTCATGGTAAGTCCTTTATGGTGCCACCTTTGATGATGAGTACCTGAACACAGAGAGTTTCAGTGACTTACCCAAGGCCGCTCAGCTAAAAAGTGGCAGGTCCAAGATTTGAACCTAGACAGTCTGGGCCCAGAATCCTTTTAGAGGCAATTAACTATTGTGCTTTCATGCCTCTCCATGTAAAAGAAGTTAGGCATGGAAACATGGAGCAGACTGACAGTCACCAGAGTGGGGCTGGGGAGGAATGGTGGAAAGAAGGGGAAGGGACTAGACAAAGAATATGTATGAATGACCCATGGACATGGACACAGTGTGGGAATTAACTGGAGGAGTGGGGTGTGGGATGGGTGGAGGAGGGCAAAGGGGGAAAAACTGAGACATTTGTAATAGAATAATAATTTAAAAAATGATTTTAAAAGGTTAGGGAATATCAGTTTGCATGGCCTTCAATTTCTTATCAGTGCATGGATTACAAAAGGGCAGGTGACATAAATTATATTAAGGCCTAAATTGTAGCTGTATATTTTCACTACATCCTTCCCTAATTTGATCCTTCAAGGAGGCAGGGTCTAAAGATTTGTCTCAGTCTTTTTGGGGAAAGCTCTGAGAATTTCTGTAATTGTGTGGCTTTGTGTTTGCAGACCACAGCAGACTGCCGGAGCAGCATTATCGTTCAGCATTAGGGCCCTGTTAATTGGACTCAGCACAACAATAATGATCACGGACTTGTGAGTAAGAGGAACCTTGGTTCCATCCCAGCTCTGCCACTTGGACGTGTTACTTAAACCTCCTGAGCCTCCTTCCACATCTGTCCATGGGATCATACGCGTACTGTTTTAGGGCTACAAGGATTACAGTGGCACCTGGTCACAGTCCAGGCTAAGAGAGGCATTAAGTGCACTAAGACACAGATAGACATGTGAACCCGGGGGCCGCGCTTTCTGGGAAGAAGGGACTGCAGGAGTCTTGCTTTGGTAGGGAACTTGGAGTGTAGGATACACTAAAAGGTCGACAAGATGGTCTCATAAATTTATTAAGCAGGTAGCATTCTTTTAAATATTTAACAGTCAACATGTCTCTCTTTACATAGCATGTATATACCCAATGAAGCAAAATTTATGACTTTAAGCAAGTAGCTTTCTCAAAACATTTAAGCATTGATTGCCAGCCTAAATTAAGTTCTTCTACTCATTAAATTAAAATCACAACATGAACGCATTGGATTTCCTTAATCACATACATCATCTTTAAAAAGCTGGCAAAACATACGCTAATTATGGTAATGATTACAGAAATTATTATGAAAATTTTATGCTAAAATTTCCACTGTCATGGATTTAAGGTTGTTTGTTCATCATCCCATTGTTATCCATATTTTAACTCTTACTCTCGTTTTAGGTCTTCCTGAGTTTCCCATTTCTACATTCTTGGCTGTAATAATCATACAGATCATCCTTCCTCCAAAAAAAAAAAGTTTCAGGTGAGCCACAGTTGCAGATTCTGAGTTATCAAGTCATTGATTCTTAGCGAGGATACTGGGCCTAGCAATTCAAACCTGCACAGTTAGTCTTCAGGTTGAGCCCTTTTAAAAATAATCAAGCCTTGTTTCTGGTGTCACAGAATTTTTAAGTCCCTTTTAAGTTGAAATACGTATGTGTTTTGGGAATCAGAAGCATGTATTCTTTCAATTTTTCACAATCTGTATTCCCCATCCCAGAATCCAGCCACTATTATATGGACCTGGCCTGTTGGTGGAGCTTACTGAGGCATGCTTTATGAGAACCTCATCATAACCGTAGAGCCTTCCAGAGGCTCGCTCCTCGGAGTGTGGTCCGTGGACCAGCAGAGTCAGCATCGTGTGGGGTGAAGAATCTCAGCCTCACTTGAGACAAGTTGACTCAGAACCTGCATTTCAACAAGATATTCCCACCCCCACCCCCACCTGTGGTGTGACTGCACTTTAAAGCTGAGAAGCACTGATGTAAAGACTCCATCTGCCTGCAGAAGAGGGATCAGGCCTGCAGCAGGTGCTCCTCTCCCAGAGGTGCGATTTATGCGATTTATGTATCAGAACCCACTACAGCTTCCTCTTTTCTTAGTATGTTAGACCTTTTTTTTAAAAAAAGATTTTATTTATTTATTTTTAGAGAGAGAAGGGAGGGAGATAGAGAGAGAGAGAAACATCAATGTGCGGTTGCTTGGGGTCACGGCTTGCAACCCAGGCATGTACCTGACTGGGAATCGAACCTGTGACACTTTGGTTTGCAGCCTGTGCTCAATCCACTGAGCTACACCAGCCAGGGCAGACTTTGTTTTAAATGCTGACTTTTTTTTACCTCATTGACCAGGAGAAGAGGGGTGGGACTGAATTGGAGGACCCCAGTCCTGAAGAAGGGGGTCACCCAGAAAGCTAGGAGGAAACCAGATGGTCGTGGACACCCGGAGCAGAGGCCTTCCAAGCACAGTGCACCTGTCAGGTCCTTTTCCCACACTGATGAGTGCTCAGTGAGCGCTCCACCCACGTTAACCATTGCCCCTGTTGTGGTTACAGTCGGTGGTAACCAGGAAGGGCCGATGCTGTCTGGGACAAGCTGGGGAAACTCTGTGGAGCATCATCACAGAGGTTTCCCGCGAGAGTCACTTTCCCGGACCCTTGGAGGAAGTATCTTTGGTCCCTTCCGTGCGTTGAATGAAGGGCTGATTCGCAGAATAAACTCAGAAAAAACAAGGTCGGAGGAAGTAGTCTTTTCACGTTCACATTTCCTTCTGAGGACAGGGCGCGGCGGCATGAAGGGAGAGGATGAGAACACCGAGCCACGCCAGCCCGCGTCTTCATGATTTTTCTTTTTTACATAAACAAAAGGGTAGAAATACTGTTTTCAAAATCCCCTGCCCTGAAGGAGTGAGTAGAGAGATCTAGTCCTCCAAACCAGGTGAAGATAGTTCTGGAATGCTCCTGGAATAGTCTGTTTTGGCCTTGCAGGGTTGTGCTCTGTTGGAAATTAATCTGGCCAAGGGATGGGGGAAGAATAATGCAGAAACATTCTAGAAACTTTATTGACAAACTCACCTATCTCAGCTTACGTCTGAGTTACTATAATTAGCATTTTGCTGTTAGCCAGAAATCCTTGATAAATGGATGGATCTCTGTAGGTTTGGTGTTTGAGCCTGTTACATTTCGAACTGTTTTTCTTTTGTGCCTTCTCTTCAGAGCTGGTTAAAGACCTCAGATTTTACTGGTGACGTTATTCTCAGTTTCCTGTGCAGGGACCTGCGGGGGTTTGCAGAGACACCTGGTGGCCGGCAAAGCGCAGTGCCCCGACGTTGTTAGAAATGAAAGAATTGGAATTGTGGCTAAAATTTGGTTTCATTTCGTGGTTGAGAACTTCATTCTTTCTGCCATTTATTTTTGTAGGGCTAAAATTGCATATTTAAAAATAGACATTGATTCTTTTAGATTATTTTTATATCCTCCAGCTTTTTTTTTTCTTTCCTGAGGAAACCGTTGACCAGGTGACCAGCAGCATCTGCTGGGCTAAATCCAACCGGAGCTAGGACTAGGGCGAGGCCAGCACAAATTTAAGGATGTGCCGAGTTCTCAGGGATGAATATAGATAGTATTTAGTGCACTATCTTAAAAAGTCAAAATTAACAAAAAAGAAGCTATGATAAACAAAAACATCAAAACTGTAAATACAGGATCAGTATTAGTGATTTTTCCTTTTATCTCAGGCTCCACTATGGCTCCAAAAGGCTCTGGAAAGAGCTAATGTACCCGCTGGCCTAGCTCCGGACCTGGCTCATTCATCGTCAGTGACTGTGTGCCCACCCCCAAGACACACGCCCACCTACAGTTTCCCTCGAGGCTCTCTGGGCCTCCTCTCATGTGGATCGAGTGTAAGGAGCCTAGGTCAATGGCAATGATAAGTGAAAAGAGAAAGAGAGAATGGAACATTTAAAAGTAGCCTTGAGGGGAAAAATTGGGAATGAAATCTCCCTGTTACTCTGCTTTTCAGGACTCTCCTTCTGCCTTCCTCCCAAACACGCTCACCGTTCCCACGGAGCTGTTGTTTGCTGGGCGGACCTGAGCCCGAGACTCACACACTGAGGACAGGTGGGAATGGGAGATGGAGGACCGCGTTGCCCTGTGAGAGAGGCCCTTCTGGCTTCTTTCCTGTTTTAACACATCCCTTTACTTCCTGTTTACCAGAACTAGGGCAGGGGGTGGGGGTGGGATAACTGAGGATCTGGGACCCCAGGGACATCGGTGGGGGATGTTGGTAGCTGGTATATCCCCAAAGAGCCTGGGAAGGGTATGACTTTGGTCTGCGTGGTGCTGTCTCGGACTCTCCCCATTCCTTTTCATGAGACCAGCAGCCTGGAAGTTCAACTACTGTTAACAGAAAAGGGTCCCCCTCCGGCCTCCTCCCTAAGTCTACAGGGATTATCTTTCTCCTAACTCAGGTGTTGTCATCAGAGGGATGGTGACTGCAAATAGCAGGAAAATATTGTGCAATCTTAACCACACAAGCTGCTGTGAAAAGAGGAAGTAACAGACTGGGGTGAGAAAGGATCAGAAGCTCAAGAACAAAGGAAAATTTCATCATGGACATGGACCACAGTGTGGTGAGTGTGGGGTGTCGGAGAAAGGGGATAAATGGTTATGAAAAAAATACAATAAAAAAAAAGGAAAATGTCATAAAAGCTTCAAGAAACAAGTGGCCTAAGAAGGAGGCCAAAAGGATCCCACGGATGGGCCTCTCAGCGTGCTGTGAAGAAAGAACCAGAAATAAGAGGAAGCCAGGAGGACTGGCCTCTACAATTGTGTAAACTTTTGTGGCTCTCAGATCTATTCTCTCAGGGGATTCTGGAGAGGAGAGCATGTGCGCTCCGACAAAGCACAGACACCAGAGCCTGCAGAGCCCCGGATCACTCACCTGGACTCATCGGATACCCTGGATCGCGTGTCAGCTGTTCTCCTGACCCAGAAACAGCATATCCTTTATCACCTGCTCATGGCTCTTCATGAACCTGGCTCTTCTGTCGGCACCTCATGGGCCTGTCTTTACCAACGGAGGTTTTGCTGGCTACTGCAGACCATGTAGTTCAGCAGGGGCACTGCCTCCATATTTATTGAGAGCCTGCTCTATGCTAAGTATGTGCTTAGCATTTTAAATGTTCTCTTTAACCCTCACAGTATCTCTTAAAGTAAATATAATTAACATTCTTTTTTTTTACAAATGAGAAAACTAAAACTTGAAAAAAGTTAAGCGATTGCTCAAACTCACGTAACTAGTGAGTGGTGGTCCCAGGACTTGAACCTGGACCACGGGACAACTCCCGTGTCTTCACGCTCTTTCTGTTGCATTAGGTCAACAGAGACATAGGAGATGCCTCCGCACCCTCCTCCTGCATCCATGGCAGATGCTGCTAATTGATCTTGGTGCTTGTACCTCTTGAGTGAGGACTATGGATAAAGCACAGGCTACATATAGAGAAGTAGAAACTACGATCCATGTTCTCAAGGAATCTTGCTTTGACAGAGGAGAAAGTGTATTACGGCAGTAGACGAGCACTGTAAGGCTATAAAAAACGCCCCAGTCATGAGTGCTAAAAAGATTCTGGTAAGCTTGTAAATCACTGGAGATATATCCACCTTCTTTTGTCTGTAAGCTGGCCTTTCCCCCACTTTTTGATTTTTTAGATTTATTTTCCTCTATCATTCTAGATATTGCTCATTCATTCAATTGATGAATAATCTCCTCTCTATGAGGGTACAGCATGGAACAAGGCCAAGTGCCCACTCTCATGGAACTTGATTTCTAGTAGGGAGATTAGACGAGAAGCAAGCAAGGGCACACACATGCACACCCATCAGCTGGTCCTAAGTGTGGTGGACAAGTGGAGTAGGGAAGAAGGACAGAAGGGGTGGAGTGTTACTTTATGTAGGGTCATCAAGGAAGGGCCTTCTGAAAAGGTGGCATTTGAGGTGAACGGAGAAGGAAGAGGCAGGGGAAGCCGACAGGGTATGGCCAAGGGCACCCCGGCAGAGGAGACAGAAGGAATGAAGGCCCTGAGCAGGGTGGTGTATGCAATGTGTCTGTGGAAGGGCAAAGAGGCCAGTGTGGCTGGACAGTGTTAGAGCCGGAAAGTCTGCGGCCTTGCATTTATGGGTAAGGATTGGGGTTTTTCTCCGAGGAAGGTGAAAAGCCACTGGAGAGGGCTGAGCAGAGTGGTGACATGGTCAGACTTGTGCTGTAAAGGGAGCACCTGGCTCTTGTACGGAGATGAGAACGTGGGGCAAAGTCTGGTGTTAGGAGGCAAGCCCGGCAGTGCTGGCGGGAGTTGGCGATGGCTTGAACCAGGAGGACAGTGGTGAGGAGGGGAGAGGTGGCTGGATTCTGGGAATGTTGTGAAGGTGGAGCAGCCAGGGTTGTGGGTGATTGAATGTAGAGCATTATGGGCCGCACTGTATCCCCAGATATCCATATGTTCAAGTCTTAACCCCTGGTACCTCAGAATGTGATTTTATTTGGAGATACGGACTGACAAGAGGTCATTGAAGTAAAGCAAAATCACTGGGGTGTCTCCTAATCCAGTATGACGGGCGTCCTCATAAGAAGAGGAAATTAGGACACAGACACCCAAGGAGGGAGGGCCGCGTGAAGACGCAGGGAGAAGGCGGCCATCTGCAAGTCAAGGACAGAGGCCTTGGAAGAAAGCAACCCTGCCGACACCTGACCTCAGACTTCTAGCCCTTAGGACTTGAGAAAATAAATTTCCGTTGTGTCAGCCGCCCAGTGTGTGGCATTTTGCTAGGGCAGCCCTAGAAAACTAATACATGGGGTGTGTGAGAGAGAGGGGGTCAGAGATGACGCCTGTTTCATGTCCTGGTTAGAAAAGTTCAGGAGTTGGGCCTTTTCTACACCCCGCTTGGAGGCACCAGGAGAGGTTGTCCTGTTCGGTTTTGCCACAAAGTGTTTTCTAGTGCACCGCACACCTCTGACATCGCCAGAAGACCACGGGGAAGGAGTGTGACCCAGACACATGCAGTTACAAAAGGAGGAATGGCCCACACCAGCATGAACGTGTTTTGGTGCCGACACCACACTGAGACACGTAGCCCACGGCTCCTGTTTTCCAGGAGGTCCTGCAGGGCTGTGTGCGCCCTCCAGTTCCCACGTGTTTCTGGCCCTCCAATGGAAAGGCCCCTTCATGCGAGAGAGCTCCCTCTCTCTAGGAATCTAGTGGGGTGGGGCGGGGGGGGGGGGCGGCGGCCCGGGAGCCTGTGCTGGGACACAATTTGCATTTCACTGGCTGAGCTTCAGTCAGTGCCAGTCCAGCCTCATCACGGGTCTGCCCACTTCAAGCTGGCGACTCTGGCTTTCCTTCCACTGGCACTCTGTCTTCTTCTGGAACACTGACCCCTACTGCCGTTTTCTTGAGCCTGTTGAAGTGGATTTAAGGATTCGCGGACCTGTATCAAGGGTCAGCAAATTATGGCCGGGCACCTGTTTTTGTAAGTGAAATTTTATTGGAGTCCAGCACACTCGTTCGTTTACATACTGCCCACGGCTGCCTTCCCAGCACCACGGTGCAGGAGAGTAGCTGCTGCAGAGGCCGTACGGCCTGCAAAGCGGAAAGTATTTACTATCTGATCCTTGACAGAACAAGCTTGCCAGCCCCCACAATGGGTGTAGGGGGGCTGACTCTCACAGAGTGGGTAAGAGGATGAAAAACGTGGCTACAAAACCAAGTAAGGACTGTGGACTGATAATAATATTAATGTTGCAATAAAAAGGACAACAAGGAAAGGCCAAGACTGATATTCTCCCGTCCATGGTACAAACTGCTTGTCAGGTAACATTATTATCCTCTAACTCAGGTCCCCGACCTTGTCGGCATCAGGGATTGGTTAGCTTGCTCTCCTGCTGCTCGCTTCCTGCTGTGTGGCCAGGTTCCTGACAGGGCATGGACCTGTACCGGCCCTGGCCTGGGTCTTGGGGACCCCTGCTCTAACTGGTCCTTCGAGAAGTTAGGGGGACAGAGAGGGACTGGGGATGGAGTTGGAGGAGAGTGAGAATTGGATAGACAGACAGACAAAGAGACAGAAGATAGATACACACAGAGAGAGAGTGAGTTGTGGCTACAGGTTACATGGTCATTTTAAAAATGATGCTGGGGTACCTTTTCCCCCTTTAAATATAACGTATTTAGCACTTTTTATGGCCAAGCGCTATTCTTAGGATTTCACATATATTAACTCATTTAGTTCTCAAAACCACCCTAAGAGGCTTGCAGTATTATAATTTTCCTCATTTGATAGCTAAAAAAACAGAGGCACAGAGAGGTAAGTTATCTGCTCAAAGTTATGCAGCCAGTAAGAGGCAGCTGGCCTTGAATCCAAGCAGTTGATTCCGGAGGTCATGCTTCTAAACTCGACCTGATGCTGCTTCTCTTGATTATGAGCATGAAGGCAGGAAGAAGCCTGCCTTGGTGGGCAGCCCTTTGGACACAACTTGGCATCCCAGCTACCAGCCCTTACCTTACACCCTGGCACATGGTGAAGGAATTGGGAGACCACTCCTTGAAAGAAACTCTGACTTTTTAATACCGAGGCGCATGCCCTGGATGAATCCAGCAAACTTAGAAAGCAGCTGTGAAACAGGCCCTCAGGCACGGAGGCCTGCTTCCCCGTGGAGGCCTATGGGGCGTCACTGAGATTTCAGAGAGCTGGCAACCAGAGGTGAGCGGTGTCACAGCTCTGAGCGGCCAGGACAGCTCTCCTCTGCCGAGAGCTCGGGCTCCTCGGGGAGGCTGAGGGTCTCTTGCTGGGCTCTCAGTGGAGAGTCAGAATCCTTTCCCATCTACCCCCTCTCTAGGCCTCAGTTTTTCCATCTGTAAAGTGAGGGAGCTCAACTAGAGGGTTTCTAGGAGCTCTTCATGGGTTAAAAATAGTGTGATTCTAACCCTGATCAGAGTGGCTCAGTTGGCTGGGCATTGTCCTGCAACACTACAGATCATGGGTTCAATTCCTGGTCAGGGCACATGACTGGGTTGCGAGTTTGGTCTCTGGTTGGGGCATGTGCAAGAGGCAGCTGATTGATGTGTCTCTCACACATCGATGTTTCTCTCCCTCTCTTTCCTCCTCCCTCCCCTTCTCTCTAAAATACTAGTTTAAAAATCTTTTAAAAATATTCTGATTCTAGATTTAATGAAATGGAGAAAATATTCATACCATTTTAATTTGTGGGGGAGGGAATTCATTATAAAAGATTATGTTTGACTTTTGCAACTTTTTGTTTAAAGAGTATAGGTAGGAGAATGAAGGTATTTGTCCTCTTCACCCCTTGGTCCTCCCCCTCCCCCCTCTGCTACTGGGAGAGAGTCTCTTAGCAAAGGTATTCATTAGGATTCTTTGTCAGGCAGGGGGTCTCTTCCAAGGGATGGGAGCAGTGCCATCAGCCTTCTGGAACAGAGCCACAGCGTTCCAGGGGATGTGACCCCACTGGGCAAAGGGTTCTCAGCAGCTTCAACCAAAAAGCGCTGAGCAGGGACCCTGAGGGGAGAGGTAAGGGGCAGGGAAAGAATATTTAGAAGCATCCTTAGCACTTCTATGTGCTCATGGTCTGTACAGAGCAAGACGGAGTTCTGCTCAAGGTCTGTCTGTGTCCTTCCAGACCTGGAGGACGGGGCAACACAGTCCTGTGAACATTTTTAAAAGATGTCTGCCCCGTGAACCCTGTCTCTCTCTGCCTGGTTGGGTTCTTCTGGGTGACCTTTCTTTTCTTGCATTGTGCTTTTCTGTACTTTCTAATATTTCTACACTATACATGCACTGCTTATATAATAAAATCGTGTTTGCAAATAGTAGGATCTTCTGAAATGTGTCTAGTATCCTGATACCATACTCAGCAATAGATGAGCGCCTGTTGGTCCGTTGGCTCCTTGTGAATCTGAAACGGTGGGACCGCTGTGCTGTGGCAGGGCTGCTGCCTCCCAAATGGTGCAGTGCCGACGTTGCAAGGATTATTTTGCTCTCTAGAAATTCTCTAAATTGTCAGTCTCTTTTTTCCTGGCCAGAGTATACTTCCTCAGGGGATGGTTCCACACAACCTCTGGTGAGATGCTGCTCAGAAGGTCTACCCATGAGCTGGGGAAAGGTGGCTGCCGGCCTGAGAATCCTCAACTTCCGAACTGAAAGAGTTCAGTGCTCTGTGAACCTGGAGTAACATAGGACCTATCCTCAGTTAATGGGTGCGCAGGAAACAGGGTGCACTTAGGAGGTTCCAAATTTCTGGATGGCTGAGGTTTATTGAGATTATTATTAATGTTAAATTAAATTTTTTCCCATCACCAGGTATCCCCCCAGACCCTCTTCCACCTCCACCCGCCGCCTCCCCACCACAATCACCACAGTGTTGTCCATGCCCATGAATTGTCTAATTTTTCTCAATTCTTCCACCCCTAGCACTCCCCCCAACCAAGCTGTCTGAGGCCACATTTTAGAAAAAGCAGTCTAAAACATACTTGCCTGATTTTTTAGTCTTACTGGATTCCAAATAGTGAATTCAATGAATCTCTTCTTCCATTAGAGTCTTGCAAGCTACAGGGCCACTGCATTGCGGGCCTCGCTCTCCCTCGCTCTCCCTCTCTCTCTCTGGTTTGGAGCTGAGGAAAAGCTACTGACTGAGTGTCTCTGGACTTCAGCCTCCTCATGTGAAAAGGAGGCGTTCAATTCAATTTCAAAAGTATCTTCAGCCTCCGAGATTCCAGAGCAGACAGTTTGTTGAAGGAGGCCTGAGCAAGCATGGGTAGTAGGCACTGTGATGGGTGAGTCGGTCTAGGGCATCAGGAAGATAATGCCTTTACAATCAACACGAGGGCACAGGCGATTAAGAAACACATTTAGCTGACGGCTTGAGTGTCTGTTCCATTCGGAGGATATATTCCTTAAAAGGGACAGGGTAACGCATCTGCCAGCGGTAACCTGATGAACTAGAGCTATCCACTTTCCTCGCTTTGATTCCAGGCAACCCAAAGAGCCTAATTTGGTTTTCCAAGGCAGATTCCCCAGGCATGAAGACAGCAGGCTATGGCGATTGAAAACTGACATTCTTTTGTGGGAGCAAAATTGGATCACATATGAGAAAAAGCTGTAAAATTATATTAACTAACATTCAATGCAAAGGGATATCATCCTTGATAATATCATCATTACTTCTGAATCATTCTCCTGCTGATTTGGTTAGTAGCCTTTGAGTTATTTTTTAGAGCTAGTAAGCCCTGGGTAACTTGGTAAATATGGAAATTCTGGATCTGCAAGGCTGATCAGAGGTGAAAATCACCAACATTTACATAGTGCTTTACAATTTTCAAAATGTTTTTGCAAGTGATATCCTAGGAACTCTGAGAGAGAGAGAGAGGGCCCAGCATTCTCCCAGTGTCTCGTTCAGGAAGGCTCAGCATTAGAGCGGAGCTAGGCAAGGTCTGGGCTGGCCGTCCAGCCCGAGTGCAAAGCACAGTGCTGCTGTTTCTGAAGAGGGGGTGAGCGCTGTTCCCCCGTCTAACTAACACACCGCTCACACAGAGACTCACACACGCTGCGCGGGATCTGTGCCCAGTGGGACAGCTGAAGCAGGGATGAGAGGCAGAAGGCCGAGAAGAAAGCCAAATGCCAATCTGTTCTTGGGATCCCGGAGCTGCTTCTCTTTTCCTCTTCAAATGTGGCTCAAAGCACACACGGCCTTTCCACATGGCTGCCCCGCGGCGGGGTCGTTCAGTCTCCCTTAGCCCCAGACTCAGGTGGAATCTGCTTGCTGCAGGCGTGGAAAGTGCCCAGCCTTTTAAGATGGAATCTCGAAGGTATCAGGTGCCTGCCTGTATTTCCCTGGAAGTTTGATCTGTATGCTCCTGCTGAGGGTGGCTAGGGGCCCTCCGCTGTGATGGTCCTTCCAGGGCAGCACGCCAGACCTATCCCACCTGGGACTCTGGGCATCTCGGCCACTGGAGCTGCCAGTCTCAGATTACAGGGGAGGGGAGATCCCCAGACCTCAGGCTCTCTGTGCAGTGCAAACCTGAACTCTCTTGTCGGCTGCTGTGAGACTGCCCCAGAGTGGGATCTTCGTGCCCAGGCCCTTCCCATTCACGGGGGGGAGTCATTTTGCTTCTCTGGGAATTTATAGAGGCTCCGAAAAAAAGATGAACTGGTCCTATTCCTGCATCTCCTTTTGTTGGATTTACTTTGCTGCCTTCAGACTGAGAGGTAGGAGACTGGTGGGTGGGTAACCATTTCTGTTCATTTGGGACCACTTTTTTGGTGGGAGGTGGGGTGGGCCAGCAAACAGAACCAGTGATCTAACTGCAAGGAAGTGTTCTATGCTTCCTATTAACTTACGCTGATCCCAATGGGTCAAGCTAGAAAAAGAACCCTCGTCCACCAAAAGCTTGTCCCTAGCTGATGCCAGGTCATCCCCAGTTCTAGTCCTCAGTCTGTTGTTTTTTGTTTTAAAATACACGTTGACACTAAATGTTGATCCAGGTCCCTCTTTTTGAGCAGTTGCAGAAACAGCAGATGGAAAATATGCTCAGAAGTTGTTCAATGACCTTTTTGAAGATTATTCCAGTGCTCTTCGTCCAGTAGAAGATACAGATGAGGTCCTGAATGTCACACTGCAGATCACGCTTTCTCAGATTAAGGACATGGTGAGTCCCATAAAGTGGTGGCTCTTTGGCATGTTGCTTAGAAAGAAACTTAACAGTGTTTTCCAAAGGGATGTTTTAACTGGGAATTGGAGAGAGAATGAGAACAGACAGCTGCGTATTGAATCTGGTGGGGGAAGGGGACACCAGCGGGAGGAAGCGTCCTATGAAATTAATTTCACTAAAGTGCGACCTGTCCTGACCATTCACAGTACCAGTCTGAAATCATCTAAAGAAAGGTGGTCTTACATATTATATGATTCCATTGCTGCGAAATGTCCAAGATAGGCAAAGCCATAGAGACAGGAAGCAGAGTATTGGTCACCAGGGACCCTGGAATGGCCGGGGAAAATAGCGAGTGACTGCTTGATGGCCTGAGGGTTTTTTTTTTGGGGGGGCGGGGTAGGTGACAAAATGGTTTGGAATTAGATGGTGGCGATGGTTGCATGACACTGTGAATATCCTGGAAGCCACAGAATGGTTAAGCTGTAAGGCCACTTTGAAATGGTTAACATGGTGAGCTTTATGTTATATGAATTTTATTCTAATTAAAAAAAAAGAAACGTGGTGGTTTAAGATGACATACCTTATTTAGTGCTTATCTCTGTTTAATTCACAAAATTATGAAACTTGGAAGACTTTTCTTCTGTTCATTGTAAATAATATTTCCTGACTTTCTCATTCAAAATGAATCACCACTTGACCATGTTTGAAGAAATCTGGGCAGTTGATTCATGCAAAGGTTTGATGACTTAAATATTTTTTCACTTTACATTTTGAACATTAAATGAAGCAGAAAAAAAAATATGGCCTTGGCGGTCAGTCAAGGGGTTAGACTGAGAAAGCGCTCACTTAGTTCCTGAAAACAGAGCAGTGCTCTTGGAATTCCTACGTGAAGAACAAGTGGTCTAGAGATGAAGAGCATTCAGCTGAGGTGTCTACTGCACAAAATTGTGTCTGGGTTCATCGTGCAGGACGAAAGAAACCAAATTCTGACTGCCTATTTGTGGATCCGCCAAATCTGGCACGACGCGTATCTCACGTGGGACCGAGACCAGTATGATGGGCTGGACTCCATCAGGATCCCCAGCGACCTGGTGTGGAGGCCGGACATTGTCCTGTACAACAAGTAAGTGCAAGTCAGTAGCTTCTCAGGAATGAACTTGTTGATTTAAAAGAATTTAAACATAATAAAAAAAAGGAATAGTTAAAGCATGATTAATTATCAATACCTGTTCCTAGGCCCTGGAATGATGGTCATAAAATCTTAGATGACAAACTAGCAGCTCATAAAACTTAGAGCTACATTCTCCCTTTCAGGTAAGAACTGTATTAGAGGCTGTGTTAGTTTTCTGGGGCTGCTGTAACCCTGTGTCACACGCTGAGGAGCTAAAAGAACAGAAATGTGTTAACTCACGGTTCTGGAGGCTAGAAGTGCATGGTCGAGGTGTCAGTCAGCAAGGTTGGGTCCTTCGGCGGGCTGTGCGGAGGGGTCTGTTCCTGTCTACTTCCCTGGCTTCCGGTGGCTGCCGACCATCTTTGTTGGTCCTTGACTTATAGAAGCATCACCCCAGTCTCTGCCTTCATCCTCTCATGGCATTTTCTCTGTCTTGTCTGTGTGCACATGTTCCCTTTTAGAAGGACGCCAGTTGTGTTGGATTAGGTGTCCACCCTACCATACCAATGTGATCTTGTCTGAACTGATTACATCTCCAATGACTCTATTCTGAATAAGGTCATATTCTGAAGTGCCAGGACCTAGGGTTTCAACCTATGGATTTGGGGCTGGGGGACACAATTCATTCCATATTAGGGTGTTCCCTTCTCCAAGATCAGGTATCAGTAACCGTGATACTACTGCATTAATCATGATAAGATTAAATCGGAATGGGTCAGCTAGAAGCTGGTCCATGAATTTTGGACTTTTTGTGGAGTGGAGGATGTACTAGGTTGCAAAGGGCCTTGAGTAAACGGGTAGGTAAGATTTATGTTTCTCAAACTGTAAAGGGCACCCAAATGACCTGAGGAACTTGTTAAAACACAGATTCTGATTTAGGGGGTCTGGGGTAGAGCTTTTTGCTCTGCATTTGTATAAGGTTCAGGCGTTAATCCTGCTGGTCCACTGACCACATTGTGAGGAGGAACCAGATTGGTCTGTCACAATTCAGGCCCAGTTGCTCCACCCACTGTCAAAGGGGCTCTGTCTCTCTTTATTCTGGAGCTCAAGTTTCTGTGGGTTGGGAAAGGTTTTTCTTTGGCTCAGAGCAAGGTGAATGAGGGGTAGCTCTGGACTTCTCCTAAGAAAGAGCTCAGCCTGCTAGTGGGCATGGGTTTCCCTTCAGGAAGCAGTGCTGGTTTTCAGCCTGGATTTTAGTCTCGCCCCTTACTTGGAGAGCTCATCCGAGAATTATGACCTCTTGAATCATAGCCCTGGTCCTGCTGACCATTCCCCATTCTGAGTGGCTAGGAGAGTCTTCCATATTCCTTCCCAAGTAAGATAACATCTAAGTGCTTGTGCTTTATCATTCCAGTTCCTCGCCTACCCACTCCCTGCACGCATACACAGACAAGGTGAGAAAAAGTCATGCCATCTGTTATCTCTTCTCATCCACAGGATGCAGGAGACTAATCAGTAAATAGGGTGGGACTGATCAGTAAATCAGAACTTATAGAATCCCTTACAGCATTCTATAAGTTCTAACAGTTCCTCCTGGAAAACAAACCAGGCTGGTTCTCCTATCCTTCCTGCTTTGAGTGGCTGAAGCAGTGACCAGCTCTTACTGAAATGCTCCCAGGCAACCTTGCAGGGTGACCTAAGTTAAGCCTACCCCAGTTCCCCCTTATCAGAGAAACCAGTTGTATGCTCATGGGCTCACACAAACCTACTGTGGCTTTGGTAAATTCTGTCCCCATCCTCCTTCCCTGGAGATGTGTGAGTTCTGTTCCCTGTCCTTTCACACACAGACTTTTTACCACCCTGGTTAATCAACATGTTTCTGTTCCTCTGGGTTGACTCTTTAACCTCCCTCACCCTCCCGCCCCAGGCAGGTCTGTTGCGCTCTCCTTCTCAGTAACGCCAGAGTTTTACTAGTTAGACGAAACTCTAAATGTTGCTATTGTTGGATGTCATTTGTGGTTTTTTTTCAACCAGTGACATGAGAATTGAAGAGAGTTATATGATTAGGCAAAGGAGGGACCCCCAATTACAACCATTTCCCTGACTCTGGTTGTTCTAGCTGAATCCCTGGACCTGCAGAATCTTCTGATCCCAGATATAATATCACCACTCCCCAGAAGCTGGTACAGAACCTTGTAGACCACAAAGTGGGCTTTCGAGTGGTGGTGGGGAGAGGAAAGAGGCATATAAGGGAGGGGATACAGTCAAGTGTGATGAAGATGGCTTAGGTAGAAAGATGGCTAACATCTGGATTCCGCACTGGTGCCTAAATCCCCAAATCTCACGGGGTGAGACTTGTTAGGGAGGATCTGGACATTGATAGGCCTAGAAGCTGCCACATATGAGTAGTCGTTGCATTTATTGTTACTTAGTTTGGAAGAGAAAAGTCCTTGGGAAGACTTGATGGCTACCTTAGGCAATCATAAAGAAAGTAAGGCAGGGAAAAGAGAGATACTTGCTCCAGAGGACAAAACCCAGGACAATGAAAAGAAATGAAAGGGAAGACAAGCAATTAAAAAAGAATAACTAATAACTTGAGCAACAAATTGTCCCAAGAGGCAGTGAGCTCTTCAGGAAGACAATGGTTTGAGCAGACACTGGCTCTGTTACCAAATCAGTAAAGGAGTAAGCAATTGAGGGGTCAAAGTTCTGGTGACATTGTTTAGTATAAGTATATGGCTAATATAAAGCTTAATATAAGTGGCTACAAGAATTCCTGGCATTTTTAGATTCAGGAAAGAGTGGATTATAGAAATTCCAAATGTGCACTTATTATGAGAGAGTTCTAATTGTTGGGTTTTAATGGGTAGTTTTAATATTTGGGTTTTAGACCTAGAGAGGAACTGTGTGCCCTATTGTATTCAGAAAGATTTTCTATAATTTAGCTTTGAATTTCAGTGAAGTAGCATGCATAATTGATTTTCAGCTGATGTGCTGCATGAATTTCTAAGACATGCAGTACCTGACTGTTTAGTCAGGGGCACTGACCTCTTTTCCCTTAGATTGTTAAAAAAAAAAAAAAAGACAACAGCCAACCCAATAATAACTGTCTGGTGTGAATGAATCAAAATTATAACTATTTTTGTCAGATTGACAAAAAATATATATCTTGGGGTGTTCCACAGAACTTTTTAATTAGTTTATTTGTGCCACCAGCTGAAAAGGTTGAAAATTGCTGGCCTAGGTGACTCCGAGGATAGTGAAGATTTTAGATGAGATTGCAAATAAGGGAGGAGGAAGAGGAACAAGTTTGGGGAAAAAAAAAGATGAAGAATTTGGTGTGGGACTGGCTCAGTTTGGGGACCAAAGAAACATCCACATGGGGACGACCAATGAAGGAATTGCAAAGGCAAGGCTTGAACCTGGAAAGAAAATCAAGGACAGAGATATCAGAAGCTCTTTAACTCTTTGTAGAACTATTCAAGGAAAGAAAAGAAATGGCTGAGGATAAAACTGGGGAAACTCTTCATTGAAGAACAAGCAGAGGACACTTGGAAGAAATGGGTAAAGGGGAAGGAGAACTGAGAGAGAGTTGTCATAGAAACTAAGGGAGAAAGGATGTCTAGGGACAAACCACAGAGTGAAATGCTGGGGAAGAGCTGAACAGATAGGGACTTAGAAGCCATCTTTAGGTTTGTCTGTGAGTCATGAATGACCTTTGAAGGAGAGCCTGCCGGGAGGAGGCCAAGCTGCAGGAGTGCGAGCAACATGGGGACATGACAGCAGCAGGCACCCATCACTCTTGAGAGCGTCTGTGGAAAGAGAGGAGAAAGGTGGGAAGTGCCTGGGAGGAGGAGAAGTTGGTAGTAGACACTTGGGAACAAAGTTGGGAAGAGACTGGAGGAGCCAGAGAGAATAAGAGAGACCAAGAGAAGCAAAATCCTGAAGGAGACTTGGGAGGAAAGGAATCACAGTACCCAGGGGAAGTAAGCCTTGGAAGACAAGGGGGTATCTTTTTAACATAGAAGAGGACAAAAGGGGATACTTGAACGACTGAGACACTGGAGATGAAAAGGGTTGGGTAGTGGGCTGGAGTGAATGGACACATCCACGCTGAGTTCCAGGCACTCTCTGGTGACCGAGAAACTGGTTGGCTCCCGTGCCAGGCCACGCCTCCAGTTCTGGGGATGGGATTCTTACGGCCCCTTCAGGCTTGCACTTGAGCCTGTGTGCTCAAGTGCAAGCCGACTAGAATCAGTTTAGTCTCTCATCAGCTACAGAGGGGAGGGGAGGGTGCCTGCAGGACACCAAGTAGAAGAGGAAAGGGAATAAAAGAGGGAACCAATTTAAATATTCTCTTCAGGTCGTGCGGTTCTCTTGCCCTCCACTTTGAACTTTTGTCTCTGTAATTTTTTCATATTCTAGTGGAGAACATGGAACCCAGTTAGAAACAGAGGGAAGGGGAAGAGAAGAAAGATATATACATATACATATACATATACACATGCATATATGCATATATACATATATATCACTTATTATGCATAGGCAAAAGTTGGGGTTTTACAGAGTGTGGCGGAAAGAATGGTAGCCCCCAAAGAGTCCACATCCTCATCCCTGGAGCCTGGGAATATGTTACCTACTGTGGCCAAAAGGACTTTGCAGGTGCGATTAATTTAAGGGTTTGAGATGAGGAGATGACCCTGGTGGGCCCAATGTAAACACGAGCCCTTGCAAAAGAGGGACAGGAGGGTTAGGGTAGGAGATGCTTTGAAGGCAGCAGAGGTCCGAGTGATGGACCGAGTGATGGAAGGGAATCCCGCTCCAGGGAATGCAGGCAGCCTCCAGAAACTGGGAAAGACAAGGAAATGAGTCTCCTTCAGAGTCACCAGAAGGAATGCAGCCTTGTCTCCATCCCGATTTTAGGATTTCTGATCTTTAGAACTGCAAAGATGTTTGATTTGCATTATTTTAAGACACTAGGCTTGTGGAAATATGATAGCAATAAGAAATTAATACATGTAGTTATATATTTAATACAAAATTTAAAAAAGAAACTTAAGGTATTACAATCCCTGCTTTTACAGGCTGGTGACGGAAATGTAAGTTGCTCAAGTTTATAAAACCTGAACCAGGCTTTGAACCCCGAATCTCTCAGTGGTTATTTGTAGGATGTCAGGACACTTTCTACAGGAGAATAACATTATCTACTCAGCCAGCCCATTTACTTTCTTACCACCTTCCTTCTCTGCGAGGCATTCTGTAATGTGCTGAGGAACAAATTAGGATTTTAAAACTCAGTCTATGGCCTCAAGGGATAGTCTAATAATAAATGTACGTAAAAACTATAATAAAGGGTAAAAATGTAAAGTCCTTATAACATAGAAATAAAGTGCTGTGGCCCTCCAAGACGGAGATTTCATTTGACTGGAGAGAAAGGGAAGGCTTCTCGCAGGTGGGTCTTTTTAAAAAAAAAGTATTTTTATTTATTTTTAAATTGTATTTTTTCAATTACAGTTGACATTCAATAGCATTTTAGGGGGTCTTGAACACTGTGTTGGATTTCTACCTGCAGGATACTATAGACAGAAAAATGAGTCTGAGTAAGAGGGAAACTCACAGGATCTATTACGGTTTCAGCCTTGCTTGGGGGAGCATGAGCGCAGGAGGCCGCGGGAGACACCGGGCTGGACGGTGGGACGGGAGTAGATCGTGGAACATCTAGAGTAAGATACTGGGCATGAAGTGAATAAATAGGAATGTCTTTAAACTCCTCCTGAGAGAGTGGGCTCCTTTGTCCCCTGGCTCTGGTGAGTGGGGAGCACCGGTGGGCAATTCAAGGGGGAAAAAGTGAGGACAGGGTCTGCGTCCGCTCGCTCCCTTCCTGTAGAAGTATCTGGTCGGGCTGTCCCTGGACAGAAAGTCTTAACTCCTATTATGGCTTACTCAACAGTCCATCTGCATTGCAGTGGTGGTGAACAAAGGGTAATTTCCTGAAGGAAAGCAAAAATTCTGTGCCCCAAAAGGCCAGGCATTGATATGGATAAAGAAAAGTCATCCAGAATAAATGATTATCTCTTAAGCTATGGGTGAATGGACTTTTTCTGTTTTCCAAATGTTCTACAATAGACATGTGCAAACCTTTCAACAGCAACAAAAAGCTATTTTAATGTTCTTGTGCCCAAAGTTAACAAAGTCAGGTACTCAGAGCCTCCCCTTTAGAGGCCAGCTTTGACAGGTTTCCTTTAGGCCTGGCTACATAAACCATTGTACCTGGACCGAGAGAGTGGCATTGGGACAAGAGAGGAAGGGACATAGAACAGACATGCTTTAAAGTAAGAATCCAGGACGACTTGCCCCTCACTAGTCACAGGAGACAGAGGAGAAGAGAAAATTAGAGTTGATTCCAGATTTTCAAGACAAAGTGATAGGGAGAATGGTGGCCCATTGCAAGAGACATTAAAGCGATGGACGCAGGCAGGTGAGCTGTCTGGAGGGGGAAGCTGGTGAGTTCGTCCAGCAAGCTGTTCACGTTTTCCTTCTCCCACCTCCAGGGCTGACGATGAACCTTCCGAGCCTGTGAATACCAATGTGGTCCTGCGGTATGATGGGCTGATCACCTGGGATGCACCGGCCATCACCAAAAGCTCCTGTGTGGTGGATGTCACCTACTTCCCCTTTGATAACCAGCAGTGCAACCTGACCTTTGGCTCCTGGACCTACAATGGCAATCAGGTGGACATCTTTAACGCCCTGGACAGCGGAGACCTGTCCGACTTCATCGAAGATGTGGAGTGGGAGGTCCATGGCATGCCTGCGGTGAAGAACGTGATCTCCTATGGCTGCTGCTCGGAGCCGTACCCTGACGTGACATTCACCCTCCTTCTGAAGAGGAGGTCCTCCTTCTACATTGTCAACCTCCTCATCCCATGCGTCCTCATATCTTTTCTGGCTCCCTTGAGTTTTTATCTCCCTGCAGCCTCTGGGGAAAAGGTCTCCCTGGGCGTGACCATCCTTTTGGCCATGACTGTATTTCAGCTCATGGTGGCAGAGATCATGCCAGCCTCAGAAAATGTCCCTCTCATAGGTGAGTTCAAGCATCCTATACTTTGAACCTAACTTTGTAGTGACCGGGGTTATATCCATGCCTTTAAAACTTAGAACAGTTAGGCCAGCTTCACACTCCACACAGGCTGTCACATGCTTTGTCTAGTGTCTTTGGTTGGGATCTTTGAATGCCATGTGGCTGTTGGAAACAAAACCATTCTTGTGGTCTCCAGAGTGACCCACAGGAAGAGTGAGGGGCAATATAGCTTAGAGCAGTGGTTCTCAAAGGGGGATCCCCAGACCCACAACACCGGCACTGGTTTAGAAATGCAAATTCTCGGTGAACTGCCCTAGACTTAGTGAATTAGAAACTTCAGGAGTGAGGGCTAGCATCTGTTTTAAGGAGCCTTCTGGGTGATTTTGATGTACTTTGTGTTCAAATCTAAAAACCACTGGCTTATAGTTTAAGGCCTTGATTTTGAGGTCAAAGAAGTCTGCATTTGAACTCTGACTTCCCTCATTCCTTGGTCAATCTTAGACAAGCTACTTAATCTTTGAGTCTCTGCCACCGCATGTCACTGCTACCTCATGTGCCGTTGCTTAGTGCGGAACCTGGCACGTGATAAGTAGTGAGAAAACAGTGGCTGTTTTAATCTTTTCACATCACAAGGGGTCTCTTCTTGGGAAGAGTGGCAAACATGATAGAAATGATAAACTGGATTTTTAAGCCTACCGTCTATTTTTAATGGAATAATTCTCAACCTCTATTGGGTCTAATAGGTATGAGAAGGCTTGTTAGAGTGCAGGTTCCTGTACTGAAAGAGTTTAATTTAGCAACCTCGGGCAACATTTGAGAATTTGAGATGATTCTAAAGTAGATCATGTTTTTATCAATCTGTAATAATGAAATGTCCCTCTACGGGTGGAACATACACTGAGGCTGCTAGTTCTGCCTCCTATTTTGTTTCGTTTTGTTTTTAAGATTTTATATTTTTATTTTTTCCTTTTTTTATTGATGTTTGAATACAGTTGCCTCAATTTTCCTACCACCACTTTCCCCTACCCTATCCACACCCACGTCTCACCCTCAATCCAAACCCCACTTGGCCCCGTCCATGGGTCCCTCATTTATGTTCATTTATGTCCCTTTCCCTTCTTTCCCACATTATCTCCCTGTCCCCTCCCCTCTGGTTACTGTCACCTTGTTGTTGATTTCAATGTTTCTGGCTATATTTTGCTTGTCAGTTTGTTTTGTTAATTAGGTTCCACTTATTGGTGAGATCATACGGTATTTGTCTTTCACTGCCTGGCTTACTTCACTTAGCATACTTTCCAGTTCCATCCATGTTGTTGCGAAGGGTAGGAGCTCCTTCTTTCTTTCTGCTGTGTAGTATGGTATGTTGTGTAAATGTACCATAGTTTATTGATCCACTCATTTACTGTGGGCCCCTAGGCTGCTTCCAGCTCTTGACTACTGTAAATTGTGCTGCTATGAACATTGGGGTGCATTGGTTCTTTTGAATTAGTGTTTCAGGCTTCTTAGGGTATAAACCCAGCAGTGAATTGCTGGGTCAAAAGGTAATTCCAGTTTTAGTTTCTTGAGGAAATTCCATACTGTTTTCCACAGTGGCTGCACCAGTCTGCATTCCCACCAATAGTGCACTAGGGTTCCCTTTTCTCCACAACCCCACCAGCACTTGTTTGTTGCTTTGATTATGATGGCCATTCTTACCAGTGTGAAGTGGTATCTCATTGTGGTTTTAATTTGCATCTCTCTGATGGCTAGTGATGCTGAGCATCCTTTCATATGTCTCTGGGCCCTCTGTATGTCCTCCTGGAGAATTGTCTGTTCAGGTCCTTTGCCCATTTTTAATTTAATTTTTTTATTTTTTAATATATTTTGTTGATTATGCTATTAAAGTTGTCCCATTTTCCCCCTTCACTGCCCTCCACCCTGCACACCCCTCCCACCTGCATTCTCCCACTTCAGTTCATGTCAATGTGTCATACTTCTAAGTTCTTTAGCTTCTACATTCCCATACTATTCTTACCCTCCCCCTCTCTATTTTCTATCTACCATCTATGCTACCTATTCTCTGTACCCTTTCCTCCTCTCTCTTCCTCCCACTCCCCTGTTGCTAACCTTCCATATGATCTCCATTTCTGTGGTTCTGTTCCTGTTCTAGTTGTTTGCTTAGTTTGTTTTTGTTTTAGGTGGTTGTTGATAATTGTGAGTTTGCTGTCATTTTACTGTTCATATTTTTATCTTCTTTTTCTTAGATAAGTCCCTTTAACATTTCATACAATAAGGGCTTGGTGATGATGAGCTCCTTTAACTTGACCTTATCTGAGAAACATTTTATCTGCTCTACCATTCTAAATGAAAGCTGTGCTGGATGGAGCAGTCTTGGATGTAGGTCATTGCCTTTCATGACTTGGAATACTTCTTTCCAACCCCTTCTTGCCTGCAAGGTCTCTTTTGAGAAATCAGCTGACAGTCTGATAGGAACTCCTTTGTAGATAACTGTCTCCTTTTCTCTTGCTGCTTTTAAGATACTCTCCTTATCTTTCATCTTGGGTAATGTAATTATGTGCCTCCTTGGGTCCAACTTCTTTGGGACTCTCTGAGCTTCCTGGACTTCCTGGAATTCTATTTCCTTTGCCAGAAGGGAAAGTTCTTTATTATTTGGTCAAATAACTTTTCCACTTATTGCTCTTCCTCTTCTCCTTCTGGTATCCCTGTAATTTGGACGTTGGAATGCTTAAAGATGTTCTGGAGGTTCCTAAGCCTCTCCATTTTTTTGAATTCTTGTTTCTTCATTCTTTTCTGATTGGATGTTTCTTTCTTCTTCTGGTCCACTCCATTGATCTGAGTCCCAGTTTTCTTCGCATCACAATTGGTTCCATGTACAATTTCCTTTATTTCACTTAGTGTAACCTTCATTTTTTCATCTAATTTGCAACCAAATTCAACCAATTCTGTGAGCATCCTGATCACTAGTGTTTTGAACTGTGCATCGGATAGGTTGGCTATCTATTCATCGCCTAGTTGTATTTTTTCTGGCGCTTTGATCTGTTCTTCCATTTGGGCCATTTTTTTGTCTTGACGTGCCTGTTACGTTTGAGGGGTGGAGCCTTAGGTGTTCACCAGGGTGGGGCAATGCACATGGCTGGGTTGTGATGCTATAGGTAGGGCAGGGGTCTGAGAGGAAATAATGGTGCTTACTATGCTCTTTGCCAGATTTCAGTCACTTCCCCTGCTCCTCCCAAGCAAACTGGGCCCTTCTGGTGCTGATTCCCATGTGGGTGGGCTTGTGTACATTCTAGGACCCTGTGGGTCTCCCCAAGGAACTCTCCTGTTTGAGGCTGGGAGTTTCTCCTAGTACCTCAACACCCACAGGTGTTTTCAATCGCTGTTTTGAGGCTTTATGTCTCCAAGCTGGGAACTTGGGTTGCGCGGTTTGTCTTGCTCCCCAGTTTTGCCTGGTTTATTTGCATGCAAATGTGGGACCTGTTCCGCCAGCCACCTTATGTGCCACACCCCTCCACAATCTGCTGCCTTGCTGGGTCCGCCAACCACCTCTTTGCCATGACCCCTCTCTGCTTGGCTGCCCGACTCTGCCCTTCCTACCAGTCTGGATGAGTGTGTCTTCTTTAACTCCTTGGTTGTTGGACTTCCATACAGTTCAATTTTCTGATGGTACTGGTTGTTTTTTGTTGCTAAATTGTTGTTGTCTTTATTTTGGTTGTGCGAGTAAGGCAGATACTGGCCAGCAGTATCCCTGCTGTAGATGCTTGTTGAAACACGAGAAAAACATACACAGAGACAACCGGGTCCTGTGGGGAAATAACGACAGAACGGCCACTCTCTCTAGTGGAGAACGCCTCGAGCCCCCGTTTCAGTAGGTTTTTATTAAGAATACAGACTTAGTTTGTGGATTCACAGTCTGGCAGAAAAGATTAAAAGAAATAAGTGACTTTCAAAGGTGAAGACAGAACCCCCGCGGTGATTCTGGGCAGAGTTTGGAGTTTTAATATGTGAAAGGACTAACAGGGCTCAAAGGGCTAATTTTGGTTTCCTGTCTGTGCCTTCAAATTATAATCTAATAACATCCTCCAGCAAACAGATCTCACAGGATCTTGCATATTCTATGTCCCAGGCCTGATTACCCTGGGGGTCTGCCATCTCTGGTCTGGGCTGCACTGCCCCTGCTATTTCCGCAGGCCTGCGTCAACAGAGGAGACAAAGGCAGCCAGGAGACTTGGATTCCTCACATCTAAGAACAAGGACTCAGGCTGTGACAAAGCTGAGGGGGCAGGGGTTGATATCTGTCACCCCTCCATTTCCACAGCCCCAAGTCTCTTCCCAGAGGCCTCCTCATGATCATGCCTGTCTTAGGCAATTCCCTCTGTGGGAAATCTTACCCGTCACTGGCTAACTGATCCAGCCTAGGAGGTCAGGCACAGAACAGGCAGCGTTCATGCCAGGGAAATAAGTTTTGTCTCCTTAGTGGCTTCTGGTCCCGAGATCTTTCACTCAGCCTAAGTCACAGGGGGTTACAGCTTCCTGAGACCAGGCAGGGTGGTCCCCAACATGCGAGGAGGCACAGTGTGTCTGCCTACACCTCCATCTTGGCCAGAAGTCCCTTTGTCCATTTTTTATATTGGATTGTTTGTCTTCCTGGTATGGAGTCATGTAAATCCTTTACATATTTTGGAGATTAAACCCTTGTCCGAGGTATCATTGACAAATATGTTTTCCCATACAGTTGGTTCCCTTTTCATTTTGCTAATGTTTTCTTTAGCCATGCAGAAGATTTTTATTTTGATGAAGTCCCATTTGTTTATTCTTTCCTCTATGTCCCTTGCTCTAGGGGACATATCGGTGAAAATATTGCTATGTGGAATATCTGATATTTTCCTGCCTCTCTTCTCCTCTAGGACTTTTATGATATCATGACTTATATTTAAGTCTTTTATCCATCCTGAGTTTATTTTTGTGTATGGTGTAAGTTGGTGGTCAACTTTCATTTTTTTGCA